AAACAAAGAACAGCTTAAAAAAAAATCAATATTTTGTAATAAGTATATCTTTACTGTCCCTTAAATCAATTTCATGCAACCTTGTTGAATAAAAGTATTATTTTATTTTTTTATTCTTACTCCTAACTGAATGGTGATGTATCACTTTTTCTGCAAACTAGCCTACAGTAGCCTACTACTGGCCTTTTCGAATTTCGCAGATTTTCATGCCATTTAGGCCTACATTATTTGCCACAGTTGGGCTACATAGAAACGTAGCCGTTTTCAGCATACATAAGATAACAGTGAATGTTTGTATATCGTTATATTTCTTTCGTAATTTCACGTGTCTAAGAAAATGTTTGTTTTTTTTAAACTGTAAAAAAAATGTAATTCTCATCATTATCATTCTCGAACTAGAACATTGTAAATATGAAGACTTTCAAGTGCCGTGATTAGGAAAGTTATGTTTTTCTATTGAAGATATATAAATGTAAATGCTTTAATGTTTAAAAGTAATTTATTTCTGTGATCAAAGCTGAATTTTCAGCATCATATAACTCTAGTTATGTCACAGGATTTGCTGCTTAATTATTTTCAATTGGCCTATTATTTGTGATAAATTATTAATAAAGGTTCTTCTTATTATTATCAATACTGAAAACTTTTTTCTTAATATTTTTGTGGAAACTATGATACTTGATCTACTTTTTCAAGATTATTTGTTGAAAACAAAGAACAGCTTAAAAAAAATCTATATTTTGTAATAAGTATATCTTTACTGTCCCTTGAATCAATTTCATGCAACCTTGTTGAATAAAAGTATTATTTTATTTTTTTATTCTTACTCGTAACTGAATGGTGATGTATCACTTTTTCCACAAAAATATGAAGAAAGCACAACTGTTTTTAACATTGTTAATAATCAGAAATGTTTCTTAAGCAGCAAATCAGCATATTAGAATGATTTCTGAAGGATCATGTGACACTGAAGAATGGAGTAATTATGCTGAAAATTCAGCTTTGATCACAGAAATAAATTATTTTTACTATATATTTGCATAGAAAACAGCTATTCTAAATTGTAACTTTATATATTTCACATAGGCTATTACTGTTTACAGTATTTTTCATCATCATAAAATTCTTCGTCATAAACTTAAAAAAAACTCTTGTCAAGCAATTGAAAGGCACAATAAAAACATTCCACGTTCTACACTACATTCCAAGTCTTCTAGAGCAGAGCAGAGCAATGTTATATGGACTGATATTATGGTAGGCATATAACTTTAGTGATATTAAACTGTATATGTAAAAGAGATGTGTAAAAATATTAATTACAATTTGCCATATACACCAGGAAAGACAAATTATAATTTAAAGAAGTATGATAGTCATTCATTAATGTTAATGATAATTTAAAAAAAGCATTTTTTTAATTTCTGTATTGTGTTATATTTGTATGTTAGTAAGTGGTGTTAAAAATAGCTCTAATGAGCTGGTGGGTTTATGGTGTGGTGGGCCACTCTGTGCCAAAAAGTCCAGGGCCACTTTTTAGCCCCTGGCTATAGCTAAACGCTAATTTAAGCATCGAAACTAACTGCTATAACACTTAAATGAAACATAACTAAAACTTCAAGTACCCATAAGTTATTAAACTTCAGTTCATAAGTAATAAAATGTCAAGATCTGTTGTTTGTACATTACCGCATTCCTCATAGAGGACTGGGTGCAAACTGCATTAAAGTCAACGCAGAGGGATGTGGACTGTTGTAATTGCCTTCACTGTGGGAATGTTGGTTGTGCTCATCCCTAACAGTCAGCTCTGAGCCCCCTGTGCTTTCTGTGAATCCAGACACCTCCTCCAGCCTGCAATGCAAGGAGATACTGTAGCCTACAAACAAGTCAGTGACATATAACGTCAGGAGAGCTGCTGGATTGTGTCTACTTGAGAGCGTGAGGAGAAATCTTCTCTGTTAGCTTATGCTACATGCATGTGAGACACATCTTCCCATCAAATGCTGCTCCATCTCTGCCCTGTGAATAAAACACAAGCTAAAAAATACTATATTCACATTCCTCAGAGAGATCTGTATTTCACATCCATTTTTCATATGGTATTCCTTGAAATGCTTATTCACTGACATGATTCATTTGCATTTTTAGAGATATTTGATGTCTAACTAATTATGTGATTTTATTTGTTTACATATGTAAAAAAAAAAAATTATAATAATACACAGGTTAAAATGAACTTAAATCAATAGTATTATTACTATGTGTATCAGTGAGTATTGTTGTCTTGTTTTCCTTTAAAAATATTTTTACAGGAAAAATTTACAGTATATTACATAAAATAAAATTAAAACATTTTCAGTGTTTTTTTTTTAAATTAAAACAGAATTTTAAGAAAGTAAAATTGTCAAAGGGTTTATCTTTATTATTAACACAGATAAAAGCATATTGCATAAAGCACTAAAACTTAAGTTAGGTTTTTTCAACTGAAAAACTGATGTTGCTCTTTTTTCCCCAGTGGGGTAACCTAATTAGTTACATCT